TGAGCTGGATTCTGTTAGATTCCATAAACAAGCCATTTTTGGTACCAAAATAGCTCTATAAATTAAAAAAAAAAATATAAATTAAGATTTTACAGATTTTAATACAGTCCTAATTTTAATACAGGTTATCTTTCAAGTGTCAACATAAAAAAGTATCATGGTAGACATCTGAGATTTATCAAATGGGGTTACTAGACATAATCTGTATCCCAAAATTTTGGTTTATGGTCATCTGAGATCACGAATTATCACATAAAGTTACTAGAGAGCAACATTATCCCAAAATTTCAGCTTGTGGTCATCTGAGACCAACCAATCACCAGCTCTTTGTTTGGGATATCTGCTGAGGTCACCAAATTAGCGGTTCATTTATAACAACAAGAATCTGTGCTGAGTGTTGTACAAAGACATAAAGCAAACACATGATTATAAATCCACAAATTGTTTTTTATGCCATGGTTATTAATTTCAAAAATCACAGACATGTTCACTATCACTCCAGCTGCTCCCATCTATCATTTCCATTAGGCCATCCCTTCCAGTTATCCAGCACTATTTTAACACTGTATTTTCAACTGCAATGTGATATGAAAGCAAATGCCTGATTTTTTTCCTAAAAAAATGAGAGAAAGGGCAGGAAAAACAGATAGGAATTAATACTTAGAATCTTAAGAAGAATTCGTTTTCCCAACCATCTACCTCCTTAGCTATGCTCTGTGTAACAAAATGTGCTTCCTAACCTACATTGTTTACTTTGCACTAAGAACACAAGACACTATGCAGGTGTCATAGGTAGTTGTATTCTAAGCAGGGGAAAACATGGCAGATATTTGCAATCTATGCAATACTATATACAGAGATTTTCTCCATAGCACAGAATTCAAACCATAAAAAAAGAATTTTCAACCATAAAAAAAGAAAAAGAAAAAGAAAAGAAAAAGAAAAGTCAAACCTTGCTGTGTTCAGACCTTCTTGTCTTTAGCAAGAGTTCAGCAGATACATTGGAGATTACTCAACTGCAATGAAACTGCACAGGAATGCAGAGCAAACAGAAGTCCACTCCCTCAAGGCAGAAATGGATGCAGCCATGAGAATAAAGGTCTGTTTGGAAGGATAAAATTGTTTGATCAGATCAAAAATATTTTTCAGGAGAAAACTCAGAAACCAGGGAACAAAAATTAAAATTCCTTTTTAATCATCCAAAATGAGCTGAGCGTGGCTTGGATTTTAAAAGAAACAAGTTAGTTGTCAACACTGCAACCAAGACACTAGGTATGATTCTTCCCACTTCAGTTAACTACAGCATGTTCATTTGTGTCAGTGTAAGAGATGGTCTGAAGTTTCCTTCATCTGCCTCATGACCATCACAAGAACAGAGACTAAGACCCTGAAGACCCTAGGGGACTTTGTGCAGGGGTTCTGGCCTGGTGGAGGTGGATGCCTGCTAAGTGATTGTTTGAAGGTGTGCTCGACCTGACACCTTCTTCCCAGAGCAACGGGTCTCACCACAATAGTGATTGTTTGCAGGTGTGTTTGCTGTGCTGCCATGGTACATTGCCTTAATTCCTGCTGGTGAGCAGGGACTTGTGAAGAGTGGCGTGCTTTGTACCCTGCACCTGCTTCTCAGAGCAACAGGTCACACCACAATAATCGATAAATCTCATCACCTTTTGGCCAACTGCCCCTCTCTTTGAAACAGACCATAGAAGTGACTTTTCTAAGTTACTTTCAGAGAGAGATCTCCCCATGGAAGAAGACACCAGCGACCCTGTCTCGTCCGTTGGTAGCTATAACTCCCCTTTTCTCACTCTTTACTTTGCGTCTGTCTCTCGCTCCCAGCCCCACCCCCCCCCTCCCCTTTCTCTCCCTCTCATCTATTGCATAACCCATGATGCTGGCACTAAAATAAAGATACATTATTGCTGTTGTGATTTAAACTGAAATCCCTTGGAGGCCTTTTTGCACTCTGAGATCAAACAAACCTCTCATGACTCCCACTTGTGTTAGTGGATCATGACAGCCAGCTGAGACACAGATGGGCCTCCTGCCTACAAACTACAAACACAAATGGAACTGCTGCTTAAGCTAGTTTAGTGCTGAATTAATTAATTGCAGATGGTAAATAACTAATGAAATAATGTGATTATTTATATCACATTTAAAGTCACACCTGCAATCATATTGGGCAGATTGGAGTATACACCAATTCAGTGATTCTGGATTTGTATCTTTGACATCCTCAGTCATTAGGATAACTTGACTCTTTAGATGATGATATACTCTACTTTCCAACCCACAGCCCTTCCAGTAAAATCTTGCTGAAGAGTGGCAAAATCTGACATCCCAGTGAGAACACAGCTGCTTACAGAAACAAGATTTAACACTCATCCAATAAATACATTCTACCTTCCACTTGCTCTCTGTTTCATTCACAAATTCCCTCTTTCTGCACTGTTCTCCAGCTTCTTTCCTTGGAAACCAAGCTCCTCCACTTCCTCTTCTACTTTGGGCCAGCACATTCCTGCAGTGGAGCAAGGAGTTATCTGCTGATGCTGTGCTAATTAAGGGCTATGGCTAATATAATTGTAATGCTTAAATAAAAGCAGAAAAGGCATGAAACCATGTACCATGGGGAACTGGGTTACTTTATAGAAATAAAGGAAGGGAGGAGATGAATAGCTGAGACAGTCTCTCATCACCAGACATGACTTTACCTATAAGCCTTCTTCTTGCCTCATAGCAATGACACTGGCTTTTTTTTCATACCAATTCATGCATTTCAAAGGGCCAATAGCATAAAAAGATTCTAAAAATAGGTTGAAGCCTGAAACCAGAAAGCAGCTGTTTCATTAGCAACAAGAGAAGCAGAAGGGGAAAAAATTGTAGGACAGAACTCCCTAAGTGTGCCAAATGACTTGCATTTCATATATTTTAAGCTATCTAGCAGACATTCTTCTAGAATCAGGACACATTTCAGATGTACACTAACTGATATAGCTAGAACCTGCTGTGTGTGCTCTTTTCTCTTTACAGCAAGAAGGATTATTGAGAATCAGAGTCATGGGACATGACAACTATCAGCACTCCATGTTATAGGACATCCTACAGGATCATCTTGCACTGGAACAGGAAGCTTTTATCATTGCTATATTCTGATTTAACAGCTGGACACATATTCTGAACTTGTGCTTATAAAGTATCAGTGTCACAAGGTGGATTCTCTGCATCCCACACATCCTTGGACATCTTCACTTCTCCCATAGAGAAGAAATCCTATCCATGAAGATCAACATTCACCCTTTATCCAAAGCCTCTGCAATTCATCACAGGCTAAGTTCCTCATCTGTCTTGGAATGACAGCCTGGAAACAAAATGCAAATGGTGAGAAGAATGAAGAGCGATTCAGTGTCCTCAGTCCATCCAGGATTCACTGTGTTAGCTGGCAAGAGAGAATATGGAAACCCATACTATGTGCGTGAGTACACAGATATTCAAGATTAGAACAGGTGCTCGATTCAGACTGAGTTTAGGGATGGCAGATCTTCAGAGCTTATGACATCGTTAGACTGCTGGTATGCACACTCAGAACTGAGATTAAAATAAATATTCAGCAGATTTGTACACCACTGACAACTAAATGGTGTGAAAAGGGATGAAACAAGTTGAAGATAAACCCTTCATATTGAAAAGCAAGGGCAGAAAGAGATGCATCAATATTAAAGCTACAAATAAGGCTTGGAAATGAGAAATTCAATCCTAGTTCTATTAGACAGCTGAACTGATCACAAATGCCTTATTCCTCAGTCTCCATGTAACCCACCCCTAGGGCAAACTCACCCTGAGACCATCATAGCAGGCACCCCTCCTGTAAGAGCCTTCAGTGGTGGGACAGTTGATCTTGTGAGAATTTTTCCAGGCAGGGTGTGGGCAGCCATCAGACACTGATGGCTCATGGCCTCTGGTGTCCTCAAAGAGTGCAGCTCCTCGAGTACCAGAGGCTCAGAGTTGTACTACACATGAGATCTGTCCCCATGGAAAACATCATGAGCCCATGTCAGCTGTGGGAAAATGCTGTGGGAGACAAAACAGTCCCTCATCATTCTTGTACTTCATCCCTACTGACATGCTTTGCTACCTACACCTGGTCCCTGCACATGGACCATGACTGGGGAATTCCCGCTCCTTTCATCAGCTTAGAAATGCTTGGTAGGACCCAGCCTTCCCTATTGCTGCCTCTTCCAATCCACAAGCTCTGGGTACAATGTGGGAGGCAGAGGTGTATGGGTCACATGCAGGGATCTGTTATTCCAGGTTCCACAGTAGTGACTGTTGACGTATAGCTTATATTCCTGCCTCTGTGTCAGGGAGCTTAGTTTCAGCAAAAGGTAAAGAAGTTGAGCAGCCTCAGCGGAGTTACAGCGAATTGCTAGGTCTGGCTGCATCAAGAAGGGGTCCAGACAGAAAGCTATATGGAAAAAGAGGGTAGGGATAGGGCAAGGGAGGGGAAGGAATTTGTCAATAAAACAGCAGATACTTGAGAGGGAAGGCAGCTAAAACTTCTTTTTCTGGCTAGAAGGAGCTTGTACAGATGGAGACCGTACTGCTCCTAGACAAGGACCAATGATACTTTTGACAGTATGAAACGACCACAGCCAATTCAAGTGTTCAGGTGCAAGTCACACCTGAAAATATGGTGCTATCTGGGCAAAGAAAGGAAAAGTGCTTTCTGCACTGCCTCACTGTTTGCCTCAGTTTTAGCCTTGGGAGATACCCAGTGCTTTAATGACCTAGGCAGATGAGATGGGGTAGAACTCATCCAAATAAATCAATTAAGAGGTCCACATCTGAGCTACTTGGATTAGACTTTCTCCTGAATTGCTAATGGACATCATACAATTCATCATGCAGTAAAATAGAGATCTAAAATAGGACAGGTGAGTCATGCTTAAAAATAGATAATCACTTCCATGAACTAATAAGGGAAGCCTGGAGTGCTCAGTTCAGCTGCAAATGTAAATACATCACAGGTGTCTTAGGTGGAGAGAAGCGAATTCCGTCCCAAGTTATTGTCAGTATCAGGAATGACTTCTTTTCCAACAGTGCCTGCAGATCTACTGGGACAAACCCTTGTGCTGTGTTTTGCTGCCTTTCTCTGGCTGCCTCCCCCTGCTCGAGCGCAAAGGCCAGGAATATGACAGTCAAGGCTGAGATACACAGGACAACTCCTTTCTCTTTTAAGGTATGTTTGAGCTGTATGCCCCTTCTTGAGATCAGAGCTACTAAAACCGAGACTTTCAGCCCTTGCTCCACACTTACAACACTGCAGAAGAGCTAAGTGCCATGTGTCAGAGGAGTGGCTGTGGAACACAGTGCTCCTGTTGCTCCTGTCAGCCCCCTCCTGCCCTAATTAAGGGTCAGTCCCTCAGTCAGCTCCCAAGGCTAACACTTCATTGTGGTCCTGTGAAGCAGGAGAGAGGAGCTGTGGGAATAGAGATGGTTGCCTTGTGATTGTCTTCAAGGTAGGATGCTATTTATTATATATGTTCCCCGGCCTCTCTGTAGCCATGGTCCTCCCTGCTGCAGCTCAGAAAGGGGGAAAGATATTATAGCATGAACTAAAGGGACTAAAACGAGTTATTCCAGCTTTATTCTGGGGATTGAGTGGAGAAAGAGAAAGAAAATTGATAATGTGCTCTTTTTTGAAGTCAGGGAGAGGGGGGAGGGTTACAATCTTACAGCCAATGAGGAAAACTGGGGAGGAAGAGATAAGGGGGAGAAGCTAACATTCTGTATTTCAGGGGTACATTCTTGGGTCATACTGATAGTAAAAGGTTTTAAAATCATAGAAAATTCGGGGACTTAGAAAGTTAAGCTTGGAAAGCCCTGGGAAAAGTAGGCCCTTGTGCTAAATGTTAGGCCTTGTGCTTGCTAAAGATCAGGTCAAACTGCACTTGTGTAGTCAGTATATGACAAATAATACAATTGTTAGATGTGATTAGATGTAATTATTGTTTAAAGAACATGAGGAACAATGTTAGGGGGTTGAGGAGGGATCACGAGAAATCCATGCTTGGGTAAAAACAATGCATACAATAGAACAATGTAAGTTTAATAATTAATATGTAAGTTATATAACGATAGAGTATAAAAACATGTTCAACTCAAAACCAAGTCAGGTCAGATTTGGGTGTGTGTACCCCTGACACCCAAAACTCTTCAATAAAGCACCTTCATATAATCATTCAGTGATTATGTGTGTTCCTGAACACTAACAATACCATTTTTCTAAATGCATTACAACAGTAGGAGGGGAAGAAGAGAGAGAGTCTCAGTGTGCCAGGCCAGGTGGTTTAAGGACAAAACAGCCTGGTGACCAGGAGGGATCTTTACGGGCAGGAAAGTCACCTTTGGGGCTGAGAAGCAAATTGTGCTCTTGGAAAGAAATTCTCTTATAACAGAGAAGACTTAACCTTGCAGGGCTTGAAAAAATAATTGGGAAGACTTGCATAAATTTGAAATCTTCACTTATCCATGTCACCATGTCTCCTCCAGAGAGGCTGTGGTGGGGGAACCAAGCTGCCAGAAAAGAATGGGAAAATGGTTTGGACTGCACAGCCTAATCCAAAAACTATTCCTGACTTCTGTGTCAATTCCAAAATTAGCAGGATTTCTACATCAAATCTTCCTATATCCCTCTAATATCACAGCATTTTTCTCATGATCACTCTTCCTCCATGACCACGTTGGTACCTAAGAGTTATTTTCACCATGGCAGACAAGGATTCCCCTGGTGAAGACAGTGAGTGCTATTGAAAAAGCCCTTGCTTCACTTCTGGGTTTGGCCAGACAAAATCCAGGGAGGAGATACATTATATACTCATTGTGTATCAAGATTTTTATCTGGAGCTACTATGAAGAATTAGCTTTCCTCCTCAGAATGCCTTAACAACAAGTTGTCAGAAAACATGTATGGCTACTGTGTGTCCTCTTTGCCCATGTTTCCCAGCTCCCAGCCGGTGGGCCCTCCTATCACCCAAGATAACCAGTCCTTCACTGACAATGTCCCAGAGCAGTGCTGCACTCATCCTAGTAAATTCTGATGCTGGTCAGCAATCCTCTGCTACCATGCAGGAATGAGGGAACAACTGTTTAAAGTCACTGTTAATGTATCCAAAGGACCTGTTGGCATGATCACAGGTCCACTTTTAAGTACCTGTTTGTACAGATACAGAATATAAAGAATTTAGTCAAAGATACCTTGGAGTCATCAATAACTTAACACTGCAAAAATGTAAGCCTTTTGGGTGACTATCCCAATAAGTGCTGTGCAGTTTCTTGGTAATTAGTCCTACAAACGCCATCATTAAACTTTAAACTAATATAAAGAAAATGTGCAGCTGATCATGCTAATAATAACACAAAGCCAGTTTGTTATACTGAATGTCTCCATAAAGATATTCTTTATAACACCTTTGGCACAGCTGGGACCTTGCGCAATTAAATTTGATTTCACTTTCTTACAACTCTAAGCATAACTGGAAACTTCTAATTAGTTACAATTATTCTTTTAGAAATGTGTTTCTATTTAGGATAATCTTGTATTCTTCTAGCCAAATGCCATATGTATTTATTATTATTGTCTCCTACTGACGGCTTTTTAACTGAGACACTTTGACCAAGATAAATTACTACATGCCTCCCAACTACAGCTCTTTGTGTGGCATTTTCTTTGGGCAGTAAAATAATTTACTAAGTGAAAAATAGCAGTTTATGGAGATAAGATAATTTTCCATTCTACTATTTTAGGTAGAGATAAAAATGCTGATTATCTTCTAAATCTAACATTTCCACACCCCACCCCACCAACAGCTGCTAATAAAGTAGCCTCATTAATGAGACTTCCTCACCTAATTGTGTTTCCCTTCTGCCTAAAACAGCAGACAAGTAAGCTACAGTTTCCTCTCAATGTCTACAATGCCTGCCTAGCTGGCATGCCCAGGAGCACTCCTCATGCCGCTCAGTGGGAGATGCAGGACCAGGAACATCCATGCCCAAGAAACCCACCCCAGAACCAGTAAAACATGGTCTTGAAAAAGGACAGTCCCTACTGGTCTCTGTCAGTGCAATACAACCCATGATTGTATGCTACCTGTGCTCTGAAGCCATGAGGTGCCAACTACAAGAACAATTAAGCAAAAAATGCCTGTTTACTGCACAGTTGTGCCCCAAACTATAAAAGCTCATATGTGTTCACTCACAGAGTTCATTCAAGCAAGAGGGAGAGGTTGAATTATCAGCTAAAATGGAAACAGACAAAAAGTGATAAACTGGAGAACAAACCACTGGAACTTATTTACTTCTTGAGAAATTAATGAACCCCATGAGCTCAAACATTGCAAAGCAAATTAAATACATGTCTTTCCCTTTTAAAATCTGGAGAATTACAGCAAGTGGAATTGACTTTATGCTTGTCTTCCTTCTAATTCACTACAGGTAGCAATCTGGTGAAACCCAGAAGGGAAATGGCAAGACAAATCTACATCAAAATGAAAAGAACATTAAATGAAGGAGCTGGAGCAGGTGAAGGAATAATACATAACTTTAAACATTATATAAGTTATTTTGTCATACTTTTGTCATCATTTCCTTACTTTGAAATCCTCACTGTTTAACTTTAAAATCACAGATGTAAGCCACAGTACACCTTAGGAGCTGATTCTATCACACAAGATTTTGAAAAGATTGACCAGCAAGTGAAAAGCAAGTAAAGTTAGAAAGATTTGTACTTATACTGCAGGGTCTGAATGCTTTCTAGGTCAGTGCTCTATCTGACTTAATTTGCACTTTTCTCATCACCAAGCATTCAGAAATTATATATATATAATACATACATCATGTTACTCGAGTAAGTCATGAGTTCATTTTATTTACTTGTCTATTTTGATGCATACAGGTCGTTGCCTTCCACATTCCTTTTTCTGGACAGGAACCTTAGAAATTTACCACGGGGGTACGGGAGAAAGAAGCTAAAGTTTTGAGACTACAGTGTTTCAAGAAGCATACCAAGCCCTTTCTCCCAGCATTTTTAGGTTAATGATACAATTGTAGCAACCAGCAAAAATTTGAATATTAACAATAAATGGGTTTTTGTAGACTAAGTCTCAGACTCAATCTCTTTTCTCCAGAAACATACCTGACAACATTGTTTAAACAATTCAATTAGTGATAATTAGTGACTTTGGATGACCATGAGCCAAAATTATAAAGGTGACCTCTAGTAACTCCATCTATTAATTGGTGATCTCAAGTAAGTCTCTGTGCTAATTAGCAACCACAGATGATGGCCATGTTCAAACTGTTGACTTCTTCTGTGCCCAGACATGCATGCAGTGCATGTGATTTTGGGGTCACCACATTAACTCCTAGAGGTCAGTTCCAGATGCCCATGCACCAAATCTAACTCTGCAGATCAGCTCAGGCCCATCCTGTCCTGTATTTCTTTCTCAGAAGTCCCCTGAGATGTCCCTATGAGCCCACAGTGTCCCTTAAAGTTACCTGGGGACTAAATCTGCATCAGGACATCAACTGAGATCATCCTGACATCCAAAAATATCTTTGGGCTCCCCTAGGGCTCAAGTATTAGGCCCCACCATCATTTGTCATCCTTTACTTGGCTTCTTGGGATTTGAGGTTGCAGAGGTATCAGTTATATCCCTTGGGGTGACTCAAGGTCAGTTTCTGCTGAACTGTAACATCCTGGCTGCTTTCAGAGTCTCTCCAAATCCAGTGTCAGTTGGAAGGAGTAGGAGTGGAATGAACCCACTAGAAGATTTGCATTACATACTTGCCCTGAGTGCAGCTTTTAGGCAGTATCCTCTGAGAGGAGCACATGAAGTCACTAATAATGGTGACCCCAGTGCATCTCCCCCTCTACTTCCCCCAACAGACAGCACTGTTTAACAAAAACATAATGTCAAAAATGGAGAATGAGGAGCAGCCCTGTTTTATCTCAGGAAGGAAGGGTAAGAGGCAGTTGCTTTTCCTTTGTAAACTGTTACAAAATTAATAGAAAGTGTCTTCCATCTCTTTACATCATAGGGAGTTTTAGCAGCGTCTCGGCCCCAACAGGACTCTGCCGTCATCCATCACCTCTCACCACAGTGCCCTCTTTCTCTGGGCCTCTTGGAACTCATTGCCTGAGATCCTTTAGCTCCCCATTATTCACTTCATGATTTTGGCTACTAAAATCAGTTAAAGGCATCTTACTTAGCAGTTGTCTTTTACGAAGAAACTACAAAGAGAATACACTTGATATTCATGCACATTGCTGGAGCAGCAGCAATATCTGCTTGGAGACTTTCTGCCCTGTGCAAACACATTGGCCTACAGTGGCAGACCCCTGCGAGCTCTTAAAAACTGGATTCACCTTTGCTTCAAGTATTTTGAGATAAATTGTCTGAGCTTTCATAAAGGAAAAAAAATCAATTAAAAATCCCCACCAAAACAAAGAAACAAACAATCAAAATGCATGAAAAACAAAAACCAAAACAGTGTGGGGATTGGATGGGGAAAAAAGACCATAATCCAAATTATTCCAAGAATGACGCTGCTCTTGGTCACACCGGAGCTCCGGGCTAGCTCTACGGTGCCACTCTAGCACGGGCCGTCACCAGGAGTGGGGAACTGCAGGGGAAAGGCGAACCCACTGCAGAACCTTCAGAGCGCCAAATCCTACTGAGCTCTGCCAACTCAGGCGTCGTGGGTGATGGTAAAAGGACGGAGGAGACTCTCTCAGAAGAAGTTCCCAGGAACAGGTTTATTAAGGAGAGGGGAGGAACACGAGGGTCTGGGCTGCAAGAGTTCAGGACCGAAGAGAGCCCTGAGCCCCTCTGTGCACTGGGTTTTATCCAAGAGGAGGGTACAGTCCAGGGTCCAATGGGAGCTCGCAGTAGGAGGGGTGAGGGGAAGAGGTTACAATCTCAGGGACCAATGGGGATACAAAGAAGGCGGGAACATAACATATCAACCAATAAAGTACAGAAGAAGGGATGACATACATGGAAGGATCTGGAAGGAGCAGTGGGGTTTACAATGATGGATGGTGAGTTGGGGCAGGGTTAAGGTGATTGATGAGGAACAATCAAGAAAACTAGGCGGGGTTTATATGATGGACAACTGGAACCTACCAAAGTAATCAATGGGGGAAAACCAGGAACATACCGACAGATAAAATACCAACAATTTCAATGGAATTAAATAAACATATTACAACACAAGAGAAGAGGGAGACTAGTTTATAGGGAGAAAATCAAACAATACAAAGTCCAAATGTGCAGTTCCAAATTCCCAGCACTAGCTGAAGCCAAAAGAGCTCTCTTTACACCTTTTCCCTCCTTTCCCTTTTGTAACCTACATCCTGATGGAGTTACTCAGAACATAGAGACAACAAAATGCAGAAGCCCAAGATGACCCAGCTTCTGTCCAGGTACCAATACATGTATAAAGATGCTTTCACTTGGCTTTAACCTGTTGAAAAACCTGAAGGAGACCATAAGCACCAGCAAACCCCCAGGAATTCCTCGGGGTTGTCCCACGTGGCAAAGAACTGGGGCAGCACAGGGCAGGAATGAGGCAAGGCACTATCCCACACCAGACATGCAGTAGAAGAGGCACAACCATGCTAAAGACAACAAATAGTGGTGCTGCATTTCTTTGAGGTCTCTTAGAGGATGAGTAAACTCACACTTGGTGCTGCCCTGAAACAGAATCCAGGGCAAAAGACCAGATCCTGCTTCCTTCAAATCAGTGCTAAAACAAGTACCAAACCTACTGCAGTCAGTACAGACCATTTCATAAAACACCGTCAGCTCCCAGTTTCAGTCCCCCCTCTGTGTTTAATGGATTTTATTTTGTTCTGGTGTGACTGAAAAAACCAATGGTCAGAGCAGAGCTTCAGATGGTGTCCATGAAGTTTGAGTCTGCCAGAATGCCAGAAGGCAAAATAACAGGTCCTCAGGTAAACTCTGGGCAAGTTAGGTAATAGCAGTGGTGTTAGTCCGATTGAAAATGTTATTTGGGCCTTTATTTAATTGTTTTCTTTCAGAGCAGACTGATTTTCATTACCATTTTAAATAGATATTACCACCATATATAATAACTTTCATGGTTTTTTTACCCTCCAACAACTTTATTATGTACTGGCATGACTTTTTTTTTTTCTTTTTTTTTTCCCCTTCTAGAACTCAGTAATAAAATACCCAAGAGAACCATGCACTTGCATTCACAGCAAAGCCTCCAGCCAGATAAAATTCATATGTGTAAGGAGTTTGCACTAGGTGGAAATACCCAAAATACTGCAGTTTCCTGTTGGTTGAAGAACAAGCATCCATGAATAAATGCAGTTTAGAATTGTCCCATTGACTCAGCAACACTACACAATAAAACAGTCCCTTTCCTTATGGGGCTTAGGAGTGCTACCATCTCCATGTCTGCACAGATACCATATAAGCTGCAAATTAAATGAGAAGACAAGAAATCACCTTAAACATACAATGTTCCCTACTGGTTTGTGTTTATGCAATAGATAGAGCCAAGGAGAAGATGTGACCTATATACTCTGGTATGGATGCTAAATGCAAAAAGTAAGCAGGGAACAGAGCCTGTGTGAAACTAAGTCACACAGGCTTCTCAGTCTGGCCTGGGAAAGCATAAGAAAGAATCCAAACAGTCCTTGGTAAAGGACAACAATCTGTAGGTGTTGTTTAGTCAAAGGGTGGTGTTTCACTTATGGTGATATGTTGTTTTAATGACCAATGAGAGTTTTACCTCTCAGACATTCTTGAACATGTGTATAAAAGAAGATTAAGAATAATAAGCGTTGCTCTCTTGGACAATGAAGCTAAGGGAGTTAGTGTCATGCTTGTCACTGTTCCTAATATAGTGCAACACTCTGGTTATAGAACTATCGTCTTATAGAAATTTAATGTTTTGGTAATCCTAGGTACTCCTTTGGAACTCTGGCCTATGTCTGTGTTGATATCTCAGCCTGCAGGAGCTGAGGCCTAAAACAAGTTCCTCAAAGGAAATGCCATAACATTGCTAAGCCAAAAGAAATTGCAGTGGTGGAAGATACATGGAAAAGCAAATTCAGTGGGTTACTTGTAGGGAAGTTGTAGCTACTCATGCATGTGAAAGAATATTCACTGAAGAAGTGGAGTGGAACTCTCTTCCATTTAAATGTATTGGTTGACTGAAGTGGGAATATTCAAAGCATATTTTTCTCCTATTACACAAGTACCAGCTACTTGAACAGAATTATTTGCAGAAGAGTGTATCCAGCTGGTTCCTCCCCTTGCCATGCTCTCAGAGCACCTCAAAGGCTGCCCTAGACTCTAATGTCTGGTAAAAGATCCCAGAGGATGAGAATTGGTGATGAAAACTCCAGCAACACAAACACCTATCACCTCTCCTGCCTGGATATGACTTAAGAGGAATTTTCTTAGGGGTGTGGGATGCCTTTCAGATATAACATTTCAATATATGGAAAATTCAGTCAAACCATGGTATCTCCAACACAAAAATAGCTGGTAGTTCTTCTCTTCCACTCCTGCATCAATAAAGATACTTTGGTGTTTATTCAAAGAGCAGCAAAACTTATGGGGAGCTAGGAATTACTTAATAATAACAGAATGAGTGTGTCTAAGTAAAAGGCCTAAAAGAGAGCTCAGACACCTTAAAATACAATCAGAGAGAGAAGACTTGAGACAACTCAATGATATTAAAAAACAGTGAAGGATTGGTTTTGGAGCAGAAAACCTTTCTGACAAAAATACCAGTGTAAGTTTACAAAAGCTGTTGTCTACACAAAATGCTGGAAGCATTGATGGAATAGTCAAATCTATGGAATCACTAGAAATTCAGTGCAAGCCAGAAAAATTGTTCAGCCAAAGTCCTCTAAGAAGTGCATGCCATTTCTAATTTCTGTTAGTGCTGGGTGTTGGGGGACCTGGAGTTCTGAGCAAGATATAATTAAAAAGCTACACAAGCCTCAGAAGTTGTTCCTATTTCAGCTATTTCTAAGGACATTTTTAATTGGCAATATTCAAATACAAACTCCTCCAGACATGAGTAATGACACA